GCTCAGCAGTAGAGCACTCGCCTCGTACATGCAAGGCCCTGGGTTCAATCCTCAGCACCACAAAAAAATAATAATAAATAAATAAATAAATAAAATAAAGTTATTTTAAAAAAAAGAAATCACAGACATATACATATCACACTGCAGGTGTTGAAGACAACTCAAAATATCATTGCCCCTCATCACTGTCTCAAAAGCACCATAATCATTAGGCTCATTGCAAAATCTTATTAAATGTGTTAATAAAAAAGCAGGCATGCTACTGCAGCACACATTTCAAAAATATTTAGGTAACTGAATTGCAATATAATTGCCTTCCTCTGGTCTGCTATGTGTTTTATTTTATGCATTTAAAAATGTTGTTCTAAGAGGTCCTGAAGGGAAAAAGGAGTCCTTGGCACAAGAGGTTTATACCCCCATAACCAGTTCTCCTTACGATCAGGGTGTGTGTATGTAGGTGTGTGTGTGTGATGCAGGAAATTGAACCCAGGCCTTGTGCACACTAAGGTACACACTCTACCACTGATCTACACCCCAGCCTCTCATCACTCTTAATATTGTCAATCCACTCTCCAAATAGAAAACCAGGGAGATCTTTTTAAAAGGTAAACCAGATCAATATATTCCCTCACAGAAACATGAAACTCCTGACTTTGATTGACCTGGCCCTGCAGGATCTGATCTTAGCCAGCTTGTATCTCCTTCTGTGGTTCTGAACTCCTGTCTCCCACTCTCTGCTCCCTTCATGCCAGCCTTTTCTTATTTCTTTGAGATCTCCAAGCCATTTCCCACCTTGGGGGCTTTTTCTTTGCTCTTGGGGTAGCCACTTCATTTTCATGCTCTCGTAATGAGACATGACATCCCTTCCAGAGATGCCTTCCTCCCAACCCATCCCAAGAAGCATCCCTGCCTTTCCCACCTGCCCCCAGTTAGTTCCTGTTTACTTTCTTCAGATCATTTATCATAACCGAATTATTTTGTTGTTGTTGTTCAATACTAAATCCCAGCATCTGCCACAATAGATAAACCTAAAATTCACTGAATGAACATGTAAAGGGCAGAATAATTCAAAGAAGAAATTCTTACTAACACATTTAAAAGTGAGGAAACTGAGGCTCAAAGATGTTGAATTATTTGTCCAAAATCATTCAGTGACAAAATTATTTTAACTGATGTCCTAGGCCTCCCCTTAATCCCTCCACCATTTTCTGCTACATTTCCACCAACCCATGGAAAGCAGAATAGGCCTAATACAAATTCTATGACATGATTGCTTGGGATTTCAGTGCCCCATTGCTCAAGGATATGTGCCTAACAAATCCCCGCAGCTACTTCCCTCAAATATTTCTAGGAAGGATGAGCTAAAAGAAAGAATATCTATTACCTAGATAGGGTGATTTTGTCTGTCTGTCTGTGTCTTTCTACATATACACCCACATTTTTTTCATCTGTGAATCTTATAAACATAGGTACCAACAAGAAAATCAAATGGAAGGAAGAAAAATTTTAAGAAGGTAAACTAAGGCAGTAACAAATTAGATAAACCCAGGTGTAAGTGCTGACATATAAAAATACATGTGATAAAGCACTATATGCTATCTTGGTGGCCCACAATTTTGGCCACTTACTTCCTAGTGGCCGACATGAAGTGAGAAACATAATCAGTTATATGATATATTTTGAAGATTAAAATAATTCAATCAATTACCAGGAGGAGAACAACTATTTTTAAGTTCTGAGATTAAATTCCTCTTGTGGGTCCTTATAACAAAAGCATGGTGGGATACAGTAATCAGCATTCTAAACTATAGCCTTATAAATAAATATATCAAGCTTCAAAGAATGAAGTCTTACAGCATGTCTTAATAGACATGGCTGGTATAATGCCAAAACCCATATAGCACTGTATTGCCTTGCTACTTGAATCATGACTCATGGACCAGCAACATCAGCATCACCCAGGGACTTATTAGAATTGTGGAATCTCAGGCCCCACCCCAAGCCTAAATCAGAACCTGTATTTTATTAAGATCTGCAGGTAATTCTGATGAACATTTAAGTTTAAGAAGAACTGACTTGATGGGTCAGCTTGATCTGAGGCAAAATCTATAAAAAACTATAATTCATTCATTCACCAAATATTTACTGAGACCTTGGTGGTAGGAAAGAATTTCTTTACACATGACATCAGAAGCACCACCATAAAGGAAAATATTGACAAATGGGAGACCATTAAAGATGAGTAATAAAGCAAGCCACAGAGCAGACAATATGAGCAACAAAACCAAAAAAAGAAAAAGAAAAAGAAATAAAGATCAGAAGATTGGGTATTTAAATATGTGCCAGCCATCATGTTAATGCTAAAGATACAGTAATAAATAAAAAATATCTACCCTTTTGGAGCTTACATTCTAACTAGTGAACATAGTTTAGCTTAAAAAAAAAAAAAAAACAGGAAAAGGGGGTAAAGCCAAGGGGTGGGTTGCAATTTTAACTAGGGCAGACAGGAAAGGCCTCAATGAGGAGGTAAAGACCTATACAAGGTCACAGAGTCAGCTATAAAAATATCTAGGGGAAGTGTTCCAAGTAGAGAACAGAAAGTACAAACACCCTAAGACAGGAGAATGCCTAAAACAGCAAGAATCCACTGTGGTGGAAGAGGAGTGAGCAAGAAGTAAAGTAGGTACGCAGGGGGCTGGATCATGTGGGCTTTGTCGGCCATTTTAAGTATTGTAGCTTTAACTTTGAGATGAGAAGCCATTGGAGAAAAGGTAATAAGGAGGCACTGCAGGCTGTTGAACAGGGAAATGACATAATGGAAAGTGTTTTTAAGATGATTGCTTTCTTAAAGTTCGAAGGAATGGCTCAGTGAGTGTACCATACACAATCCCGGTATATGGTGAGTCATTCGTTTCACTATTTATTACGTGGCAAAGATGTGCCAAGTGGTATGAGGAGGATCTAAAAACTAGGGTGATAACTAAGAGAACTGCCAAATGAAAGTGAATAAAAATGACATTGGAAGGAAAGAAACTTGGGACATAATGACAGATTATTTATACAGAAATGACACACAAATTGGAAATTCAATTTAATCAAGGTTTGTGGATCATCCACTGATCCACAAAGGCAAAGTCATGTAATAGCTAGGACTTGGGGTGAGGGTAGCCTGATTAGCCCCTGTCCTACACTTTTCATACCTGAACTGGATTGCTGAAGTTGAGCCTAGCACTGGGACTGGCTGATCTAACAGATTAACAGGGTTTTGTTGTTGTTGTTATTTTTTAAGCTTCAGACCTTGTTCTGTCTCCTAGGAGCAGGGGCCAAAGCACCTCAACCTGATTAGTACAAAAAGACATATCTGGTTTGGCAGGAGGGCAAAAGAAAGGTCTTAATAAGTGTCTTTGTGGAGCAGTGTTCCAGACTGGCCTTGTACCACCAGTTCCGAAGCAGAGAGTTCTTCTGGTCTGCTTCCACATGTGACTGGAAGGGTCTCCCAGTCTGTCAGTCCATTCTGGAGAAGAGGACCCAAGGCATGGGAAGGGAAAGAAGCAAGCTTAAGGAAAACAAATGGAAAAAAAGAATTTGAAAATTGCCTGCCACCAGACTGCAAGGTCTGAGAAGCAGATGCAAATGCAATGCAAATGATATGTAAATAGCTCTGTGGCCTTCTAAAGGGTTTTATACAACTGGAAGGGCCCTTGGGAAACTGCTAGCAGATAACAGTGACTCAGAAGCAGAGTGAACTATTTCAAGACAACTTTGTCACACAGACCTTTGCTGCCCTGCTAGCACACTGCACATTCTTTAGTAATCTTTTTATTCTCACTTGAATCAACCTCGACTGCTATAAATATAAAAAAAAAATGAAGTCTGCTTCTGTAGAGGTTATCTAAGTTAATTACACTTTCAAAAAACACACTGTATACCTTTAATTTTTCTTCAAACGGTTTTCTCACCCAAATAAAGTCAAGTAAAATGTGTCACTTCCTTCCTAGAACAATATGTGGCTTGGGTGGATTATGAATGAAAGTGCCTCTCTTTCAGTGCTAGTTACTATGATCTTTCAGAGTCCCCCCCCCCCCACCTCTGCTCCACAGGAACTGGCACATTCTCTTTTAATACATATCTGTATTCAAAGTGAATATATATATATATATATATATATATATATATATATATATATATATGTAGATAGATAGGTATAATATATCTATCTCCATACACACACATACACACACACCTCCCCAATTCCCATCCAGCAGCCACTGAACAGCAGCTATTCATCAAGAAAAGCTGCCCTGTCAAGAAAGCTGTGGTCTTGATCATCCTAAGTACACATTTTAAAATGAAAAATGTGCACATTTGACCACAGTGGGGTACATTTTTGCCTACATTAATGTATTTAAAGGGAGGGCTTTCCCATCAAATATGCGTCTAATGAGAGCCATAGGATGTACTGAATTATATCAAGTAACATAGTAAGCACAGCTGACCTACAACTGGCCATTTATTCTCCGTCACAGATCCAGGGGTTCTGAAACAACTTATCTCCACATCAGTCCCTACTGGGTCCTTTACTTTTGTAGTACTCTAACATTCGAAGGGGCCTCAGCTTTTGACAGCAGGGTCAAAGAAAGGAAATCCCTTCGGTTTTGAGTTTCAAAATCTCACTTAAAAAGGCCACTGTCAGCCCCCAGGAAGCTGCTGGGCTAAGAGGCACCTGGGGTGAAGCCACGTTCAGCTTAAAATAAGAACAAAATGTAAAGACCTGGAATCTCAACAAACGAGAGGCCAAAAAAGAGGGGGAAAGACGGACAAAAGCAGAAAAGAAACCTCAAGAGGCGGAAGAAATGAAAGAGCCAGACAAAGAGTAACAAAGAGAGATGCAGGGGAACAACCCGAGGCGGTGCTGCGGGAGTCGGGGAGTCGGGGGAAGCGCGGCGGGGCAGGGCCGGGCGGGTGGCGAGCGCCCTCCCGCGGCCGGGGCCGCCTCTTACCTCCTGGGCGAGTTTCTGCTTGAGCACCAGCGCGGCACACAGGTAGCCCGCGCGGCCCACGAACAGTTCGTCGGAGCCGCACTCCAGGAAGGAGACCGGCGCGCAGACGGCACACAGAGCCCGGAACTTGCCCAGCGGCTGCACGTAGTCGGACCGGCCCAGGGCGTGGTACACCAGCGTGGCCACAGCATACACGCCCGCTCCCCCGAGCAGGAAGGCAGCGCGGGTGTCGGCGTCCGGCTCGCCCCACTCCTCGGCGCGGGCGCACGCGTCTATGAGGCGCTTGGCGGAGCGCAAGTAGCGCTCCCGGGCCGCGGCGAAGAGCGGGCTCTGTGAGACGTGGTAGAGCATGTAGGCCACCCCGGCCACGCCGCTGTACAGCCCACCCTGGCAGACGCTGGCCCCGGCTGTCGCCCCCCGGGCCTCAGCGCCGCCCCCAAGAGGGGGCAGCTCCTGGAGGATGCGCTCGATGGTGGCGGTGACCAAGGGCGCCACCGCTTCCTCGCACTGGCCCGCCAGCAGGCTGCCCTGGTAGTCATCGAAGCGGTTAGCGAAGCAGCGCTTGGTGTCCATGCTGTTGCCCGTGCCCCCCAATATCGAGCTGGGGACCGCTTGAGGGCGCGCCCTGAAGCCCCGCGCACCACCTCCGGTTCTCTGAGGCACTCGGATGGCGATGTATGCGGCGGGGACGGAGCAAGAGGGTGAGACGGGAGGTGACAAGAGGAGGCGGGCGCAAAGAAGAAGCACGGAGCGGATGGCCAAGTGGGGCACCGGGCTGCCGCGAGGCTCCGGAGTGGCCCGGGCGAGCGAGCGCGGGGGATGCGCGTCGTGCGCCCCCCTCCCAGAGGCCGCGCCCTTGCCAAACCCGCCCCCTCCTACGCCGCCGCAGCTCGGCCGCCTCTCCAAGGGGCCGAGGTGATCTCCGACAGGACCCACGCGGGGCCCGCGCCACTCCTCCCGCTCCGCCCTCGGCTCCTCCCCTCCCGGCGGAAGGCCAGGGACGTGCGGGACAACGATCCGGAACGCAGAGACTGGGCATTAGCACACCTGGTAGCGGAGACGACGACACCGAGTCCCTTGTATACTCAAAAGTGTGCTCCTCGGGTCAGCGGCATCAGCATCACCTGGGAGCATATTAAAAACGCAACACCCCAGGCTTCACCCCAGACCTATTAAATCAAAATCTGAATATTTAGCAAGATCTGTAGGTGACTCGCATGCACATTAAAGTTTAAGAAGCCTGTGAACTAAAGTACGGCAGAGTTGGGAGGGGACTGGGAGCTTGTTTTTCATCTTGATCGCTATGGAGTTCTCACTCTGAATGTTTCAATTCCAAAGACTGGTGGGGTCTGAGTACATCTTGTTTCATGCGTTAAAAGGTAAAATGCCCCATAGGGAAACTTTTTTTCTTGTCTTTGATTGCCGAGCTTTGTTGATTTGTTTTGTTTTGGGAGTATACAGGAGTAAAAAAGAACCACATCTGGTAACGACAAGGGAATGAGGTCTCCCCTGTCCCCCTGTGAATATAGTAAGAGGCCACTAAACAGGGAGTCATTAACTAGTTAATACAAGGACAAATGCTGACTGAGAATTTAATTAGGCCTTTGATCATTCTGCTGTTTCCTCCTTCCCTCCCTTCTTTTCTCTGTTCCCTTCTGTTTTCCTTCCACAGGCATTATTGAGGGTCTCCTCTGTGTCCTGGAACCTGGAAATAGATGGATGAGTAACATAGACTTGGTCCTAGGCCCCTTGGAGCTTACAGTTGTGTGGGAAAGACAAAAAATGAACAATTACACAAACTAGTTGCTTTTCTTGTGTTCAGCTCTTGTAAAAAAATTTCCCAAAGTGTTGACTCTTGAAAGCTAACGAGGTCACATCTTTGGGGGTGGGGGTTGTATTTTGATAGAGATTGTTCAAGACACATTAGAATAAATGACTCAGAAAGGTTTCTGGCACTTTGTGGGGGGAGGGAGCAGCTACTTCATTTACTTGAAAGGCCAATTTTGTTTGGAAGCATTAATTGCCGTGATGAACTTGTTATGATTAAATAGTTTGCCCCTCTATCCTTGCTGGATGTTGTCTGGTGAAGGACCTCAGTTTGCCAGAATTATTGCCAGGACAATCATATTCACATCCAGGGACAGTATGGCCATCATCTTCCTATAATGCTACCAAAATGGGTATACTTTTACTGATAATTAAAATAATAATAAAGCTAAGTCCACTTTACCTAGGAAGCTTGATAAGTTAAAGGAAGAAAGGGCATCAAAGGAGGAAAAAGAATGTTTAGCCTTGAGGCTTTCTTCCTAATCCCACAATTGTAATAGACTTTAGGAATGACAAATGTCCCCTCAGACATAGAGACAAAATACAGGCCTTCACAAGGAGGAAATGAAACTGTACCTCTCCCTGTCAGGAATCCAGAGGCAATACTGTTAATTCTGACTCTGATTATCTTTCCACACATCCCAGCCCAGGGGTGCCACCAGCAGCAATGCCAGGAATCTATAGTAACTGATTTCAGAATACTACTGTGAGCATGTCACCAAGAGAAGGAGATCTGCTTTTTCCCAGTTGTGGCAGTTTTCTATTGGCCCCAAATGATTCATAACAAACAACCACAAAAATCTTCTAAGGTCTAACAATAAGTTTATTGTTCAGGTATCTGGAATCTCGGCTGGACTCATTTATGCATCTGGATGTAGGCTGGCTCTTGCTTGGGGATACTGACCTAGCTGGGCTCTGATCCACATGTCCCTTGTCCTCCAGTAGGCCCACCCCATCATGTTTGCATGGCAATGGCAAAGGGGCAAGAGCAAAAGCAGAAATGTGCAAGACTTCTTAGCTTTTAGTCTAAAACTGACATACTCTTTTCTGTCTTATTCTATTGGTACATCATGTAAGGAAACAAGGTTTCATTATAAATTCCAAAGTTATGTGATAAAGGTGTGAATACAGGGCAGGAGCTCCTAGAGATTTCTTTTGTATGCCATCAAGAAGATGCCATCAAGAAGAACTAGGGTCATAAGAAGAATATAAAACAAATGATTTGAACACCGGGTGCAGTAGCACATGCCTGTAATCCCAGTGGCTTGGAAGGCTGAGGCAGGAGGATCAAGAGTTCAAAGCCAGCCTCAGCAACTTAGCTAGGCCCTAAGCAACTCGGCTGTCTACATAAAATACAAAAAAAGGGCTGGGGATCTGGCTTAGTGGCTAAGTGCCCCTAAGTTCAATCCCTGGTAACAAAAAACCCCAAATGATTTGGGAGAAGCAAGAGGTTAATGATATCTAAGAGCCTTCTTGAATTCACAGGACAAATGAACTCTTAGCCTATAGAATGCTTCCCCAAAGACCTCACTTCTTTGCTGCAGAATCACCTGGCAGAACTCCAGCCCAAAACTTCCTCTAGGGTAGAACAAGCTATTTAAACCACACAAAGCCCCACTGCTAATTGTCATTGACTTAATTTGCAAGCAGTGTTATTTTAATATCATTATTCCATTAGAAGACACTGTCTATGAAGGTAGGACTTTTTTGTTACATTTACTTACTGATATGCACCAAGAGCCTAAAATAGTCCCTGACTATTTTATTACTAATACATGTACCTATTACTAAAAGTCTGTGAAACAAACGAATTACCCTAAGAATGCTATTATTGCCTGGCAGGTGCACATCTGTAATCCCAGCAACTTTGGAGGTTAAGACAGGAGGATGGCAGGTTCAAGGCCAGCCTGGGCAACTTAGTAAGACCCTGTTACAAAATTTAAAAAATTAAAAACAAAAGGATTGGGGGTATAGCTCAGTGGTGAAGCACCCCTGGGCTCAATTCCCAATACCCCCTACACACACACACACACACACACACACACACACACACACACAGTGTTACTATTAAGGTACCCTGAAGCATAGACTACATAGTGAGGCCTTCATTGAAACCTTAACCTGCCTTGTTTAACCTCCTGCAGTGCTCTTGGATCCTATTGCTCTTATAGATGCAAAAATGTAAACATTCACAGTTTCTGCCTCCCAAATTTTTTTCTCCATGAGATTTGATGACCTCTATACTTTACCTTGAATTCAGTGACTTCACACATTCTATTTTTACTAACTAAGCCTGTGTGACAGATATTTCCAAATATGGCCACAACAATTTCTCCTATGCCACATGCTCCTCTGCAATCGATGTGACCTTGACGTTCCTGTCATCAGGAGGAAGGTACATATCACCTCCTCTTGATTTTGGGTAGGCTTGTAACTCACTTGCAACCAATAGACTGTGATGAAAATGTCACTGCAAGACAGCCAAGGCTAAGTCATAAAAGGTGATGCAGCTTCTATCTTACATGCTGGAGTACTCACATTTGAAGGCTTGAGCTGCTTTGTAAGAATTTGATTACCCTAACACTGCCATATTGTGAGGAAGCCCAGACCAAATGAAGAGGCCATTTAAAAGTGCTTGAGTCAACAGCCCAGCTGACAGCATAAACTGATAGCCTTATGAATGAGCCACCCTGGATATCCAGCCAGGTGGAAACTTCAGATAACTGCAGCTCCAAGTGAGAACCACTATCACAAGCCCTTACAGAATTTCTGACTCACAAAATTATGAGAAAAAATAAACTGTTACTTTTGGTTTAGGATTTAGGTTTAGGATTAGTTTTAGGATAATTTGGTATGCAGCAATGGTAACTGAAATATCCTGCTAGCTTCCTATTATTCAATGACATAGAAGTCCTTTCTAATCAACAGTGTCCACTCAAGCAGTTGAAAAGAGAAGTATTTCTGAAGAATCTAGAAAATAGAGAAGTACACATGCACCCAGAAAGTTGTGTCCCAAAAGAATAATTCTAGTTGAATTTTTTTAGAAGTAGCAATGACCCAACAAGAAATGTGCAACCTATACAAAATCTTGCCAAGGCCATTTATTTTACCCTTATCTGCAAGATTTGTCCTGATATTCACAGAATTTCTAGCAGCATTTGCTGACAGGCAGCTCCCAACACATGCTTTCTGTGATCTTGCTGAATTGCTCAGTTCCTAGTTCTCCTCAGTATTTCCTTATTATGCAGATTATGTAAAACTATGGATGGAAAATAGTTTTAGTGGTTTCATCAAGTAAACCACATAAAAATTATGCAAAAACTATCCAAGAAAGAGAGTATTAAAATCAAAGTGTTCTTTTCATGCAAATTATTACTATCTAATGGTGAATATGAAAAAATATCAGTAGTATCCTAACTATCAAATCTCACCCTAGAGGTTTAATACATTTTATTGGATAAACCACCTTAAAATGCCTTCAGAAAGTTTCCCAAAGTTCTTCTTTAGGGATGCATCCTGGAAATGGTTGAAATAACTGAGTTGCTCTCTGTCCAGTTCTTATAGCATATCTTCTGTGGGGATGCATCCCTGATTAACAAATTAATTGAAGACTTATCTCTTTATACTCTACTCCCTACAGGCTCTTCTCAAAACAGCAGCCAGATCCTATTTTTTTGTATGCATGCACAAAATCAGATCCTATTTTTTGATGTCAATATTTCACACATCCCTCAAAGGAAGGTACAGAGTTTTTAGGATGTCCTGCTAGGCCTGCTGACATCTGGCCCTTATTACTTCTAGAACCTCTCCTCCTATTCCTCTTGCTTTTGCTATTTCATCTCCAGCCATAATGACCATTGTTCATG